TTTGTCATTAACGAGCAGGATAATAATAAATGGTACATAGTTTTTCATGTTTCTGCTTTTCAATTATGGTATTTTTATGTCTCATATATGTTGTTAATTTAACCGCGAGCAACAGTTTGCTAGTACAATTTGCCGACTATATAACAGTGTAGGATATAAAGCAATCTCATTAAAGCACAGTAAAAATATATATCGAATTTTTTTTTTCATTTGCTGTGCTTCATTTTCTTCCTGTTAGAACAAACATACTAAAAATGATGACGAGGTCTGCACGCTTAAATTATGAGTTGTAATTATTCTGAAAACGGTAAAAATGTTATGTTTTGTACATATTATTAAATTATTGTGCATATTACAATTAAGTGTTTCGGTGATGACTGATATTATACGTGTGTAGAAAGTAGTAGATTCTTACTTGAAGGCAATTCATCATAGTAGTATAAAACCGGGTGAAGAAAATACGAAAGATGAGCTTTCCCTGGAATACCAGTAAACTTCTTGACTATTAGTACAAACAATACAATATATGGACATTATTTATATTGTATATATTATATATAGCGATACTAACAGTAACACAATCTGTATATTCTAACATATAATTCCAAAAAAATCAACATATGTATTACAAAACACAACTATTATAATCCAATGGTAAAAAAACCATTCCATTTTTAAAAAAATAGTGTATGGAGCACTGCCAGCTAGACAAAATATTGTTTATTCTCTCATTCCACTTCATTCTAGTTTGGACGGATAGGCAATTAAAGGGAGTATGACGCAATAAATCGGTACAACAAGCTGAGCATAATAAGTGAACAGCTTCTTGGTTGCTCTGTCATTAATGCTCAGACAGCCAATGAGTTATTAATTGTCTAGGATTCATGGCGATATAATTTGTTATATTTTCCCTAAAAGATATTTCTGTGTTAAAAATGAATATATTTAATTGCAACGTTAATTTTGACAAAAACAGAAAAAGTCGGGAACAATACTCACGAAACCTTTTTTTCCCATACTGCATAATAATAACCAAAACCTCCTCTGTGTCATGCCCTGTCTTCGTACGTAATTGGTCGAGTAGGTTTACTGGAAATTCCTCAATATACGTGTACACTGTACGATTTCTACATACAAATATAATGCATAATAGATATTACAAGAGTGACCACACAGTGTTCAATATGGTTTCCAAACGTCAGCGCGGTTGTTTACGCAATATTCGATCACGCGCTGCGTGACGACCGCTGTCCTTTTAATCCGGTGTAGTAATTCTGTTTTAGATTCTAGCTAAATTGCACATAGTTTTCTGTAACGTTTTTAAAGCGTTTTTCGTTTGGCAAAAACCTATAAAATGCAGTATATATCGCTGCACATAGATGCACATATTACATTATTCAAAACATGTCACTAGCAGTTTACGAAAGCAGAATATTACTCGAATTTCGAGATCAGCTGCCTTCACCTTATTATGGTTGAATGACAAGGTTACACTTTAAATTAAAAAAATCTCTTCTTGAACAATTAAATAACTTTCAGGTTTTTTAGAACGACGATTCTAAACAAGAAAACAAAATTTGACTTTCTTGTTTTATCTTTGAACCAAATGAACGAACAACTAATTTATATACATATATAAATAAATCTTCACTTACTTGGAGAACATGACAATATCGCCGAGAACACCATACATCTGATATGTCCCAGAAGCTTCATTGATGCGTTTAACAATGTGATTTAACAGTTCTGTTGTAGGTAGTGTAACAGATGGCCAAGGGACATTGTGATTCCAAAATTCCAATATTCTGCTAAGCACCCGAGCTGTTAACAGATATAAATTATATCAATAATATGCCAATGTTTATCACAATAATTACTTGCACAATGAAAACAAAAATGA